GAAGAGGAGAGGGTTTTGGGTGGGGTGTGGGTGGATATCTGAGGGGGTGGGGTTTGATTTCAGATGGGGTGTGGCTGAAAGGGAAGGGGGTTTTCGGTGGGTGATTAGGGAATGGGGTTTATGAGGGCAATTTAGGGAAAAAAAAGGGGTTTAATGAGTAATTTGAAATTTTATTAAAATTTAGTGGGGTGTAAAAAATTATGGGGTGTAAAGAGTAATTTATGGGGTTCATATAGAATTACCCAAAATATTAGACTTGAACTTTTTTAATGATTGAGTGGTTGGTTTGAACCCTCACTGAAGCCCCACTAAAATTCCTCCCGGACGGTTAATATTTTGAGGATTTTGTTTGGGCTTCGGCCCTCCAAATTACCCACACGCAGAAAGCCTTGGAACGATTTAGGATCATGGAGTGAAACAATAAATTTAATCGGCAATAAACATTACAAGCATTTTCTTTTCCGGCCTTACGTTAACTTAGACCTGAGCACTTGTAGAAGCCATACTACTATGATACAATTCCCAATCAAAAAATTACTAGAGGATGCTCCCAAAAACAAAGCTGAAGCAAAGTTGGCTTTGTTGGTCAAACACCAATCACCATAAATGAGTCCTAAGATCTGCATTTGATTCAATTGTGGGCCTTCTTGACGGAAAATGGCATCGGCAAGATATCGGCAAAAATGGCAGGTTATCCATGCAAAAGTTGTCAAATGTTCTTGACGACTATGTTACATGACGGTCAAATTCCTGGACAGGGAAAAAGAATAAATGAGCAAACTGAACCGTAAAATATATCGATAGAAACTAAATAAACATGCTACATTGAAGAACTTCTGGTAAATGTCTCAAATAACCACAGGTTAGCAATTATTTCATTCTCCATATAAAAAAATCACCCATTTGATTATCCTATGTTGTACATGGCCACACTAAAATAAATAAATAAATAAATAAAAGAAAACAAGAAAAGGAAAGATTGATGCAAGCTGAAAGAACAATATTTCACACCAAGTTAATTCTTCTGTAAATCGTTTTCTCATAGCAACAAATAACTTTCCAATAAAATGACAAATTACATTCAAGTCAAAACTCCCCAATCAAGAGAAACTATACTAAAACGGAATATCTCCAAAATGTTTGAACAAAGATGCCCAGGGAGAAACAAAAAACTTATCCTATCCCAAGGTGCTTCCACTTTCTCCTTGGCATCAAAGATCTATTCATTTCCAACCAAACAGTCCATATAAGAGCTAAGGCCGCACACCTCCATATAGTGACCACCTTGTGATTAGAATTACTTAACTGTGACCTCACTGTTGAGTATCAAGAGTAGATAAAAACCCCTACATAGTACAGTCAACAGTAAGATCACAAATACTTTTTTTAAACGAAGACAGAGGGGTGGAGCTGGGACTTGCAGGATCAGTGCAATACTGGAGTCCACTCTTTTCTCATCAAGAAGCATGTATGCCTCGAGTTTACCAAATTTGACTGCATAAAGTTATATTCTAGATTTTTCCATATCCAACAGACGGGGGAGGGAGGGAAAACTTCCAACAATAAAACTATCCTCACAAAACACAAATGTCAACCACGATTGCTGTCCCAAAGCCAGCACGTGTATTTTATGCTAATTCAAGGTATCACACAGAGATCTAGCACAATGATATGCCATAAAACATCATGCACAAACCTTTACATAGGATTTGTCCGCACAAAGCTAATTTGAGACAGATAATTGCTCTCAGCAAAATCATGTAATGAACGGCGAGTTCGTGCCCCTTTAGGGTCAGATTTTCCAACCTCCTCCTTTAAAAATCTTCTGCACTCATCAGCATCCTGAAGCAACATAAGTAAGTATATAGCTCACAAGTTAAACACTACGAACTGAAACCATTGCTAGAGTTTACCTGTAAGAACTCCAGCATTTGCTCTTCAATTGTACCGCGCATTGCAAGAGTTTCCACGTGTATTGGACGAGTAGCACCCATCCGATGAGCACGACTAACAACTTGTTCCTCCATGCTAAAGAAGTTTCAACCAACAGAACAAATTAATGTCATGTGGGAAACATTTTGACTACGGTATTTATAAACTATTAAAGTAACTATGTAGTGAATCAAATAAATAGCTTTGATCTGTGAAATAGACAGGTTAGAACAGAAAGTGAAAGTTCTTTTCCAAGTAGAAGAGTTGTTATTTATTTATTTTTGTGAAATGGGCATGTGATATTTTTTTTTAGAAAAAAAAAAAAGAAACATGATATTAGGAATTTGAGAATGATAACCTTCTGTCCCATATTGGTTCCATTAAAAATACATGTGTTACAAAGCTCAGATCGAGCCCCAGTGCAGCACTTCCATCCATCAAAAGAACCGTGCAACTAG